CAAATTTTTCAGACAAATGTTTGCTACTTAAATAATCATAATTTAGGTCGGTGGCGAATACCTTCTACCAATTTTTTCAACATTATGTAATTTGATGATAGTCGTGTACTGCCTGAATTATTCAGAACACATAGTAAGCTTATAAAAAGGAAATACTGTGCATAGACATGCACCAACCGAGCTTATATTTACATTTATCCGTAAGTATTTGTGACAAGGCCTGTGGTCGGTTAATTATGCATGCATAATCAATAGCTGATTTAAAGGTTAACGTTACACTGAATATTTCTCTCGAGTAAGTGGTCTCAGATAGAATTTCTAGACTGGACTATCAGGTGGTGTAAGCACAGTTTTCTATGTATGTTTGTATGAAAATGTATGTGTAAACGTACGAATGGTATTTTCCTCCTTTTATTATATGTCAGAATATTATTTACCATAGTTTCCCCTTTTAAGGCTAAATTTATTAAAACTGACAGAATGAGGAGGCATTCAGTCATGTTATATTCTGTTATAAAGCTTCTATGTGGCGTTTTTCAAACTGTGTAGAGGACTGTGGCCAGTTTGGCTAATGCTTGAGTAGTTGGGGTAATCAGCAGCTAGAAAATTTATTTGAGAATGCTGAAAACAGACCATACTAACATTGAGTGGTATTAGTAAAATGAGTAGGAGTATGAGTAAAATGTTCTGAACACCATTATTCATCACGCTTTAAACAACAAAGGATACTGTTTAACCAATCAAAGCATCTCTAATTTATTTACTGCTAAATGTCTCAAACTATTTGGTAAGAATCCAGTGATATGGGATTTCTCTTTCATATAAACGACGAAGGTTTAAGACTCTTAAAGTCAGCCTTAGACATTCAGGCATATGGACAGAACTTGCTGACTGGAGCAAAACTGCGTCAGATTTAGACAAACTACTTACCAACTACTGAACCCAGTTATCTGCTGACACTGGGATTTTCTATCTTCCTGATTATTAATTATTTTTAACACTTAAATCCACAAACCAGCCTGAATTCATGTTGCAAGTAAATTATGGATTACCGTTTCTTTTCGCAGACTTTAAACTCAACCATATTATTGACAAACTAAATGACAGAAATAGCAGTCAACACTTTAAAAGCCAACCTCCCCTGGTTAATTAGTTTACTAGTTACTAGCCGGTCCTAAGCCCGAATAAAAAGGGAAGGCCGGGAATAGGGCTAGCAACCCTACCCAACAAAACCAATCCAACCGCTAAACAAACTTCAAAGCGCAAACACAAAAAATAAAAAATAACAAAATTATTCCTCGCTGGAATCGATGAGGCAAAATAACGCCGTTTGGTGAAAGCCTGTCTTCGGCAAGCCAATTGACCGATGTGTCTTCTCACTCTCAATCAAAGCAAAAGTAAACAGAGGGACATGGAATGTCCACACAATGTTTGAAGCTGGCCGGCAAGGCTACCCAGATTGCAAGAGAGGTGAGGAGGTATATCTCAGATGTGCTAGGCTGGGAATCTGCGAGGAAACTGCAGATGGAATGGAAGTGGAATCTCCAGACTGTTAACTGGTGAGACAATAATCTACCCAGATATTGTCACCCAGATGACAATCATGAGCACACTGAGTTTTCGAGTGGCTATCATGATGTCCCCTAAAGCATTGAAGGCTCTCATGCAGTTGGAACCAATCTCCTCCTCCAGAATCAGGATCATGACAGCAAGATTCAACTCAAAAGGAAGGAAAGTCACAATTGTATAATGCTACGCTGTGCACCTACAAATAATGCAGATGAAGAGAAGAAGGAGGAGTCCTACAGACAACTGCAGTCTGTACTGAACAGGACCCCACCCAAGTTGGCGACATCAAAATTGTAATGGGAGGGGTGACATGGATGCCAAACTGGGAGCGGACAACACAGAAAGAGAGGTGGTCGTGGGTTGACAAGCACTAGGTGGAATGATGAATGAGAATAGAGAACCGTTTGCAGAATTCTGTGCATTCAACGATTCGGTGATTGGAGTCAGGCAGTGTGTTCAAGCACAAGGATATCCACAAAGCAAGCGACATGGATTTGACCAGATATAAAGTTACCTGTTGGTTGTAAGAAGGGCTACCTTGTCGAACTCACGAAGAAGGGAGACCTAAGTGCTTGCAAGAACTGGTGAGGAATCATGCTTTTGTCCACCCAAAGCAAAATACTAAGATGCATCATCCTGGAAAGATTGAAGTATGCGCTGGATTCAAAATTATCAACGGAACATGTTGGCTGGCTGGCTTCAGGAAGTACAAATCATCTGCGGATCAAATTACAACGCTACACCACCGATCATCATAGAACAGAGCATAGAATAGCAGTCAACTTTCTACTTCAACATCATCCATTTTCAAAAAGGTATTCGACAGCGTCAACTGAGAAGCAATTTGGGAGCTGCTGCTTCAAAACTACGGTTTTAGTGCCAAAAACATTTATAAACCTCATTCAACAGCAGCTACATGCTATATGATGCTACATGCCAAGTGATTCACAATGGAAAGCAGCTCAGTGATACCTTCGAAGTGAAGACAGAGAGAAGTGAGACAAGGTTGCCACCTACCATCACCAATCATCTTCCTGATTGTGGTCGACTGGACTGGATCATGCAGCAAACCATGAGGAGCTGTGAGAAGATGGGCATGCGCTGGTTGTACCGATGAAAACAACATACAAGAGGATTTGGATTTTGCCATTGATGATTTATGTGTAATGTCTTGTGGCACAAACTCGAAGATTTACAGGCAGACAGCAACAAGTTGACAGGAGAGGTGAGGCAGCGAAGACGAGACTTCAAGTGAACATGGAAAAGACGGAGGTGATGAAGATATTCAGCGAACAACAGTGATGGCAGCAGCAGCAGCAACAGCAACAACAACAACAACAACAAGAGGCACCAATCACCATGAATGGGGGAAACGTGAAGGAAGTAGTCTCCTTCACCCTTCCAGACAGGGCAGCATCGTTTCAACTACAGGTGGAGCCGGCAGCACAGATGAGGATGACAAAGACGGGATCAAAAAAGCATGACAGCCCTTGATTAACCTGAAATTAGTGTGGAGATCTACTGCACTGCACTGCACTGCACTGCACTCAGCATAAAGCGTGAACAAGATTCGGATTTTCAACACTAATTCAGTCAAGTAGGTCAGTGCTTGCATGTGATGGTTGAGAGACTTGGTGCGTCACGAAAAGCATCTCCAACAAACTACAGACATACATCACATGAACAGCTGCCACCTACACTGACTCGATACTGACACTGAAGATCAGATGCATGGTCAGAATAATAAGAATAAGCATCAAGGAACCCACTCTGGCCTGCCAACGAACCAACGAAGCAAGAACCCATCGACTGGGAAATATGCAGAAGAGAGTGGAGATGGATTGGATTGGGCATACACAGAGAAGACCATTTTGGGACATCATGCGCCAGACCAGACCAGACCAGGTCGTCGAATGGAATCCAAATGTGAAACGACGAGTAGGGCGTCGGAGGTGATGGTGACATGGAGGAGATGATGTGGGGAAGAAATGAAAGCTTGTTGTCAGTGGTGGAGCCAGGTTGAGAATACTGCAGAGAAGAGAGTGCAATGGGAATGTGCTGCTGAAGCCGTATGTTCCACTAGAAGACCAACGAAGAAATAATAATGATGATAATAATAATACTTTCAAAGCCGTCACCTCAGACGAATCAACTAATACTCAGTTTGATACGGTTGTTCTATGAAAGCCAATTCTATCAATATCTTGCCTACTGCAGACTTAATCAAGTCACTTCAATAATACGAAGGGAAGTTTGCCAGGATATAAATCTGTAAATCTTCCTTGCAATGAGATTAGAACAGTTCGGAAGACATTTTAAAATACTAGGTCCATCAGCATCATATTTAGGAATCATACAAGTTGACATATTCATCCCAACAACCAGATGACAGTGATCCAAATATCTTTCAATCTTTTCAGTTGTTTTCGGTGAGGATAATCGATCGAATCTAGCCGATGAAGTTTATAAATTAATGTGTAGTATTTTTTACAAATCATGTTACCCAGCAGTGTATTCCGTTTGCCCAGAAAAATTGAGTCACAAATAAAAGACCTGTTATATTTTTTGACTTGACCGTTTCCACAGATAATTCTTTGGAAACCACAGTAAGAAACTCTGCAGCCATGAAAAATGTCGACATGTACAGTACAACTTGTAAATAACTTCCAAACTGATTGTCTGGGCGATAAAATTATGAAAAAGATTTACTACATTCTAGTTGAAGGTTTATGAGAACTGTACACCGATAACATCTGCTTAAACAGAATTCAGCAATGAACTTTATTATTTTGAGTTGAAGAACTCACCTTTTGGTTGACCTAGTTTGATAAATAACTCACTTTCAGCTAAGGTCTTCAAAAGTTTCCCTCCTGTTTTAGTATACATTATTATCTTCAAATGTTCACTTCGCGAATGCAAATGGATTGTCGTTGACCTTGTCTGAAAAATGATCGATTTTATTGACAGTCCCTACCTACTGTTAAAGATTTTGTTCTTAAATCTGTGTGATCCAGTTAAGGATATCCAAACATTTGGTGCCATGTGTGCTTGGTTAAAAGTTTAAGCGGGATGTGGGCTAACACTAGGATCAAGTAACAACGCTAGGTCAACCACTAATCAAATTATTGCAATGAACATTTAACTGTAATAAAAGATCTCAAAATTTGAAGTTAATTCACTTGAATAAAATTCGTCAGCTTCACTTCGATGTGCCTGCTACTTGTTCGAAGGATACTTTCCTACTTACAGATGAAACTGGATATTAAAATGAATAGCTTAATAAAAACACCAAAATCATAATCTTAGGCTTTCGACAATACAATGAATGATCATTGTTCATAGCAAAGTGGTCAGTTTCATATCCTTTAGTTTATTTTTGTTAATTTCCTTTTGACGCGAAGCTTGGTAAATATCTATGTTTATCTTTATAAATTACACACCAAAAACTGTGCTTATTGATCTATTAGCAATGACCTTGAAAATGGCATCACCAGATATTTGTACTCAGGTACAATACGCGGATGCGTAAAAAGAAGTATGTAAATAAACAATTAGAAGAGGCATTTAACCAGATGGAAAGGTTTTATTTTTAACAATAACATATTTTGCAACAGAGCATTAGTATATGTAGCGTAAATAAAGAGGAATAACACAATGTTACTGATAGATTTAAGTTGTGTCATCATCAAGGTGTTTAAGGATATTTAATGATGAAAATGGAAAGGTGTTACGACAGTTGAAGAGGGAGGAAATAATATTTGAAAATAAACTGTTGTAGATAGATTCTCCATAAATAAAGACAAAGAGATAAAACAGTACAGAACTTTATGGCATTAAAATGATCAGTTCAAATTGTCACTCTTCTCAACATGAGTACAAACAGCAAGTGCACAAAGCTGGAAATACTCTAGAATTAACGAGAAAAAAGAATATAAATGGACAGAGGATAGATAAAAAGAAAGAAGATAAAATTCTCAGTATACTGAAGAAAGTAAGACCTAAAAGCATCTACTCAACAGTAATCCACTCAAGCATCTTGATTTCGAACATCTCTAGGAATCTTCAAACTTGTAGACGTATCTAACTGACAACCATTAACTTTGTGAATTGGTATGATATCTTGTTCTTATCAACATTTAGTTCTTCTCCAATCAAATTCTGGTTAGATTATTGCATTACTCTAGTGTAGACCACGTTTTAGTATATCTGCTTGGCATGACTTTCATATCGATGAATCTAAGTTTTTCCCATAGAAGTTTACACCTGATCAAAATATTGTGGACTAATTGATTTCGTTATATACAATAAATGCTTCGAAAACGTCTATGAAGTTTGATTTCATATTCTGATATTAGTAAAGAAGTTAAAGTGTTGCCTAGTGAAAACAATTCTTCATTGAAACGTTATTTCATTACAACCTAACACATTTCAAATGTCATATGAATTTCCCCTATTTTCCATTGCTTGTACAGCGTACTTTAATTAGAGTATATTGCATAACTTTGGTTTGATGGCTGAATTTCACTGAAAATTTGAAACTAAACTTTTTTTAAACAGGTGACATTCAGGTACTAGATTCGGTGCCTAATCTAAAAGTTCTATGCCTAGTTAGATATCTGTTGTTTGCGTAAAAGTCTGACAATACTGTAACTGATTGAACTGAAGTTTACACCTGATCGTTAATCAGCTTTGAAAGTCAAGTTTCCGAACAAATAGCTTAAGTCCAGCGACCAGCCGATAGAGTCATGGAGTGGTTGAAGCCTCTGAATATCTCCAGTCATCTTCTTCGAATACACTAGTATATTCTACCGTACTACTGTCTCTTGGTTGCATGTCACTGATTGCATTATTCTTGCTTTATTTTCTATACTTACGTTATTCTAGAACTGTGGCGATATGATCAATTTAGAAGAAAAAGTTAAACTTGCTTTAGAAGAGAACGTCAGTTTAAAGTCATACATAGAACGTATGAATAGTGAGTGTATGGAACTGAATGCAGCTTTGTTCGAAGAAGCTAATAAAATGGTGAGTGAAGAATCAATCTGTTAGAGGTAATTTAGTTACCCTTACTTTATCTGTTGTAACTAGTTCATTGAAAGTCACCAGGTGCTTGTTATCTAGACCTTAAATAATGACCCAACACGTTTGAACTAAGGTTAATAAGCTAACTGACACCATATAAAGCCTAAATGTACTTGGCAGACATTATATACTAGATGCTTAGGCATCTAATAGTCGATTGGTGAAGTTTCTGACCATAGTCGTAAATGAAGAGGTTTGGAATTCATGAAGAAGTAGGAGTTTCGATGCTATTTACCTTTGATGGCTAGAAGGGGAATCCAGGCCGTGCGATTCTTTCTATTTGGAACTTGTCACCGATAGTGTTGCATGCATTCACACAGTCCACATGCCATGAAGGACTGATTGACTCAGTCCAGTACAATAATCAGAGAAAAATTACAAGCAGTAATGAATGTGAGATGGCACATGTTGCACAAGAGGTGGTTCTCGTGACTCAGTAACCAGGTAAATGACGCAGTAGCATTTGAAACGATGTGTACTGGGTTTGAGTCCCGGTGGGAACAACATCACCCACTGGGGTGAAGGTATATCAAACTGATGATCCTCCAGTAGAATGAAAACTGCGTCCTTGATTCCACTAACAGTCATCACCAAGAGAGGAACACCAAAGCGAAACTTGAGGGAATAGTGAGATATTCTTTTAAAGAGCCTTTATATTAGGAGGGACCGATTGATAATCATCAGGAAATTACGAGCATCAATAGTTAAGAGTTTTCTTGCGAACTCAGAGACGGCAGTTATTCAACATAGGTCCGTAGAGGCTGACTACTATCAAAGTAATTTTCATGAAACTGATTTCAATTCATACTGAATACTTCTCTCCAAACAAGCATTCACGGTTACCAACAAGCAATAAGCTGTAAAGAGTTTCTCTGGAAATTGTATTCTAGTGTTTATTATCAGCGACAGTGTAAATGAATGTTGATTTAATCAGCGTGGTGACCATACTTTAATCTGTAACTGATAGAATTTGGTCGGCATAGAAGGCGGTAAGACACCGTCTTTGCCACTATGAAGTAAACAACCAGTGAGTCTATGATTTACTTCCACTTAGTATGTTGAACTACTTTACATTACTTTACATTAATCTGCAGATTAAAAACTGAAGTTCAATGCTATTTTGCTGCATTATCCATCACATAAAGAGATACACTGGTAAATTATTCCTGGTCACTGGACAGCAACTAATTAGATAGTCTAGAAATTGATCAACACGTAGGACCAGACAACGTGAAATTAGTTGCTCTCCAGTAACCAGTCAGTGTGTTTAATCCTATCCTACAAAGAATCAATCACGGCCTGAATAGCTCAGTTCTGACTCAGTTGACTGTCACATTAAGTGATGCTAGTTTGAATTTCAAAAATAACATCAGGTCACTTGACGTCACTGACATGCCCTGTTAACAAGCTCGAGTCCCGGGTCAAGCAGTGCTTCGTGCCAATTTCCTCCAGCCAGCGAATATCATTCCATTGATTTTGGGGGGTTTTTGGGGATTTAGAGATATTTGAAGCTGATATCCATCATGGGCTGACATCAGTTGGAGGATCATTGGAAATCTGGGAGCACTAGACAGCTGTTTGATTCTAGTGCGAGACTCTTCAGCAGCAGGATGATGAACACCAACTTGAAAAACCTCTAAATCCCTACATACCTCGCAAGTTCAGTTGATCTGGTGCTCATTGGTGACTAGCTTCGAGAGGTTATTCTCAAAGTTCCAATGAGAAGTCGTGACCAGTGGGGTGAAACTGGTGGCTATGAGGACAAATTCTCAACAATGAAATTGGATGGTGGTTACGCGATGTCATAAACTGACAGAAGTTGTAAATATCAACAGAACCGGTGGCTCAATGGTAACGTGGTGGTCGCAGGGCCTGAAGGTAGTGGGTTCGATCCCTGGAAGGATCATGGGTGCGAACTGTTGTGGAGTTACATGTTGGGATGAAATAGCTGTCCAGTGCTTCCACGTTCCCAACGTTCCTCCAGCTGGTTTCCGTTCATGATGAATACCAACATGAAGGATACCCTTCTTTCCTAATGCTTTCAAAATTCTATCTATACACGTGTTTTGTATGATTATACACTACTACAGGAAAGGTTTACTATCAATTTCAGTATGGATGCTTCACCTTTTAAAGTAGGTATCAACAAGACATACCATGAATATTAGAGATTTTCGAGCATAAATTAAATACCAACCCCAATAGGTTTAATCTTCACTATACTCATTTTTAAAAATAACCAGTTGAAACAAGAAAGCTGATTAGACTTTGTGGTGTCCTACACTTCAAGTGACTTGACTCGGGTGATGAGGATTTATTAATATATAGGCTTTCTGCAGGCTTACCTCAATATTATCATAGTCTTCGTTATGGTGGGAACTACTTAACGATGACAGAAGCAGAAGAGGTCTCGCTGGATGCTTCTACTTGTTTAGAACTCACTTCCCAGTAAGTGATATTTTTCACATTGAGATACAAACACCAACTTACTGGAGTGACATAACACCTAGGTAATCAGTTCTAAATAGAACGAAATTGGTTTTTTGTTTCCTCCGCTAACTGATATCAAACACAAAATACCACAAAAAGCATATTTTAGGACTTATTGATTTACTATTGTATAAATGTTTCAACAAAATTTTACATATTCATTTATTTATTCTACACACCAATAGGTTAATGAAGCCTTAGCTAAACAACATTATGCTGCTAAACAATTGAAAGAAAAGACACAAGAGAATGAGGTAACGTTACCCCTTTGCTTGATTTTTGTTGTCATGTTCCTCTGCTGATCGATTACTGATAGTTAGTATTTTAAAATAAAAATTCTATGAACTGACAGAAGTCTGGAAAAAAATCTAATGTATATCTTTTTCTGACTATCAGTTTTCAAAATCACTAAGGAAACCCTAAGTTGTGTGAAGTTTTGTGTTTAGCTTAACTGCCGTGCATAAAGAAAGACAAAATACTGATTGATCTGAAAACAGAGTTTTAAGTGCATACACGGGAATCTTAGTTGACCGTTGCTTGCTGTTTGTTCTATGTAACCTCTCAATAATTGACTTCATCACTTTTGAACTTGTCAGCAAGTGTAATGCGCTTCAGCAGCATAAATGTTGAAAACTAATGGCAGCTTGACAAGCCTGAAACCTAGTGAATACTTATTCCCTAAGGAATGGTTTTTTATTAGGTGCTTTCCTTGATCACTTGCAGATCAAGTGAGTCCCAATAAGCACAGGAGCTCTTTGCTGTATGAACCCCTTAGTCTACTCTATTGGCGTAACTATCAATTATTTTATAAATTCATAGGCATACATTTAAGCAAGACCTTAAAAAGCTCACAAGCTTCAAACTAACACATTCCTTCAGAAAAATACAGAAATTATGTCTAGAAAATAAAGCACATATGGGATACTCTCACTTTCTTCCAGCTGACTGAATCAGATCTATTTCAGTAATATTTATCTTTACATCTTGCTGACATCAAATCAACTACCTTTAAAGTCTGCTATAAAAATCATGTCTAACTTGACAGTGAAACATTCGACCCCAGTTTAGAAGTAGGCATCTTAATCTTAAGATGGTTTCAGCCAAAATACAAAACTGATTCGTGTAACGACACATCTATATCAATAACACAGACCATTATTATTATTACTTGTCCCTTAGGTTCCTAGTGGAACATAGGGCTTCAGTAGCACGTCTCCATTACACTCTCTTCTCTGTAATCTTTCGAACCTGGCTCCATGACAGCCCAGAAACTCTCATTTCTTCCTCACACCATCTCCTCCACACCACCCTCAGCACCGACGACCAACTAGTCGTTTCACATTTGGGTTCCACTCGACGACCTCATCTGGCCAGGTGTCTGATGTCTCCAATCGTCCTTCTCAGTGTATGCCCAATCCAATTTATCTCCACTTTCTTCTGCATGTTTGTTGGGTGATAGGTTCTTGGTTGGTTCGTTGCCAGCCAGGGTTCTTTGTTGTCTATTCTTATTATTCTGCCCATCTGATCTTCAGTATCGAGCCAGTGTAGGTGGTAGTTGTTGATGAATGTCTGTAGTTTGTTGGAAATGCTTTTCGTAATGCGCCAAGTTATCGAGCCATATAGCAGCACTGACTTGACATTGGTGTTGAAAATCCGGATCTTGTTCCACATGCTGAGTGCAGAAGATCTCCACACTGGTTTCAGACTAATGAACTCATGTCTTGCCTTTCCGATCCTGACTTTGACATCCTCGTCTGTGCCTGTGTCGCCAATAGTTGAAACAGTGCTGCCTAGGTAGCTGAAAGAGACTACCTCCTTTAAGTTTCTCCCATTGATGGTGATTGGAGTTTGTTGTTGTTGTTGTTGGTGGTGGTGTTGGTTGGAAATCTTTATCAACTCCATCTTCTCTACATTCACTTGAAGTCCTGTCTTCGCTGCCTCACCTCTTCTGTCAACTTGTAAGTTTTCGCCCACAGATCTTCGAGTTTGTGCGGTATTAAACACAAATGATCTGCGAAATCCAAATCTTCTTCTGGGCTCTTTTCCCCGGTCCAGCATATCCTCCTCTTCTCGCTCCTCACTGTTTGTTGCATGATCCAGTCCAGTCAACCACAATCAGGAATATCATGAGTGATAGTAGGCAGCCTTGTTTTACTCCTGTCTTCACTTCAAAGGCGTCAATGAGCTGCTTTCCATTGGGGATCACTTGGGATGTGGCGTCTTCAAATAGTTGTTGAATGAGGTTGATAAAGTTTGTGGTATTCCGTAGTGTTGAAGCAACTGCCAAATTACTTCTCGGTCGATGCTGTCAAAGGTCTTTTCAAAGTGGATGAAGTTGAGGTAGAGTTGAGTTGACTGCCATTCTATACTCTGTTCTATGATGATGCGTAGTGTAGTGTTGCAATTTGGTCGGCACATGATTTGTACTTCCTGAATTCAGCCAGCCTGTTCAGGTCGTAGTTTTGAATCCAGCTCATCTTTTAGTCTCTCCAGGATGATGCGTCTTAATATTTTGCTTGCTGTGGGTGAACAGGAGCATGATTCCGCGCCAGCTGTTGCAAAGACTTAGGTCTCCCTTCTTCGGGAGTTTGACAAGATAGCCATTGTTACAACCAACAGGTACCTTCCCTTCCTTTCAGTCATTCTGCCATAGTGGTGTGAGAATGTCCGCTGTTGTCTCTGTTTCTGTTCTCAGTGCTTCTGGCGGGATCCCATCTGGTCCTGTTGCTTTCCCGCATTTCAGTAACTTTATGGCCTTCAGGACTCCCCTTTTGTTTGAGGATTTGTGTTCACTTGTAGTTCTGTGGCTGCAGGTGGTATTTCTGGACGAAGTGCAGGTGGTGGTCTATTCAGGAGCTTCTTGAAGTGGTCAGCCCATCGTTTCCTTTGTTTCTTCTCTTCATTTGCCAGCTTTCCTTCACTATCTCTCATTGGTTTCGTCTGCGTTGATCTCTTCCCAGATAGTAACCTGGTTATTTGACATATTTTTATCAGGTCTCTATTACCTGCAGCCTGTTCTGCTTCACTTGCCAGTGTTTCGTAGAAGTGTCTTTTGTCTTTGCGTGCACTCTTCTTCACTTCTTTGTCCAGTGTTTTATACATTGTGCTCAGTTCCTCTTGTCGTTGAGCATCCTTGCACTGGTTTATCTTCTGTTTCACCATCCTCCTCTCCATCAACCATCAACTTTCATGTGTCCGTCGAGATCCATTCCTTGTCTTCCTTCTTCTTCCTTCCTAATACAGTTACGCAGGTTTCCGTCAACATCTCTTTTAGACATTCCAGCGTTCTTCCACACAGGTTTCTTCAGGGATGTTGCTAGATATCTCCCATTTTCTCCTGATGACGTAACGACACAAAGATATCCTTTGTAGTTTCGTCCTTCAGTCCAGTTTCTGTTCTGGGTGTTGAACTGTTGTCTAACATCAACTTCCTTGAAGGCTTTCAACTTGATTTGGAAGGTTCCTTGCACTAGATAGTGAGTGGTTTCAACCTACATCTGCTCCTCCTGTTGACCCTGTCTCAAGTAGGCTGACTGCGTCTCCACTTTCTTGAGATTGAGATAAAGTCGATTTGATTTTTAGTGTGTCCATCTGGTGAAATCTATGTCGCTTGCTTTGTGGATATCCTTGTGCTTGAACACACTGCCTCCAATCACCAGATCGTTGAATGCACAGAATTCTGCAAACAGTTCTCTATTCTCATTCATCATTCCACCTAGTGCTTGTCAACCCACGACCACCTCTCTTTCTGTGTTGTCCGCTCCCAGTTTGGCATCCATGTCACCCCTCCCATTACAATTTTGATGTCGCCAACTTGGGTGGGGTCCTGTTCAGTACAGACTGCAGTTGTCTGTAGGACTCCTCCTTCTTCTCTTCATCTGCATTATTTGTAGGTGCACAGCGTAGCATTATACAATTGTGACTTTCCTTCCTTTTGAGTTGAATCTTGCTGTCATGATCCTGATTCTGGAGGAGGAGATTGGTTCCAACTGCATGAGAGCCTTCAATGCTTTAGGGGACATCATGATAGCCACTCGAAAACTCAGTGTGCTCATGATTGTCATCTGGGTGACAATATCTGGGTAGATTATTGTCTCACCAGTTAACAGTCTGGAGATTCCACTTCCATTCCATCTGCAGTTTCCTCGCAGATTCCCAGCCTAGCACATCTGAGATATACCTCCTCACCTCTCTTGCAATCTGGGTAGCCTTGCCGGCCAGCTTCAAACATTGTGTGGACATTCCATGTCCCTCTGTTTACTTTTGCTTTGATTGAGAGTGAGAAGACACATCGGTCAATTGGCTTGCCGAAGACAGGCTTTCACCAAACGGCGTTATTTTGCCTCATCGATTCCAGCGAGGAATAATTTTGTTATTTTTTATTTTTTGTGTTTGCGCTTTGAAGTTTGTTTAGCGGTTGGATTGGTTTTGTTGGGTAGGGTTGCTAGCCCTATTCCCAACCTTCCCTTTTTATTCGGGCTTAGGACCGGTTAGTAAGTAGTGAACTAGTTAACTAGGCGAGGTTAACACAGACCAAGCACCATTAAATAAGCGTTTATGCGTCAGTGGGACATATGGGTTATACAGAAGCAGTAAGCTCATTTTGAGTACCCCTGACAAACGAATAATTACTGTAAAGCGGATTACGATTCGATATGAAATAGCGTCTACTTGAAGATAAACTGAATATTGTACTAAAAAATGTACATTTCAAATGCAGCATCACTCCCGTATCTTTATTTAATTCTATCACATACTTCAGTATTACATCGTGGCGGGGTCATAGGTAAGAACTGCTAGAGATGAAAAAGCTGTCTAGTACTCCCAGGTTTTTAATACTTCTGCAACTAATGTCATTCCGTGGTGAAGATTAACTTGAAATCAGTAAATTCTCAAAAACCTCTAAAGTGAATATTACATCAACCTGAATTTTTATTCACCTTATTTACAGATACTTCATTCTGAACTGAGGGCATTAAAGAAACTAGTCGGTGAACTGTCATCTAATATGGTTTATCAAGTAAAAAAAAACTCTTTCAGTCCTTCAAAGTTAGTGAATTTTTATTTCTGTGTGTACTTTAAAAATCTGTTACTCATAATCAAATTACTTGTGACGATTTTGGTCAATAAGCAATTATAGTAGATGACTGGTAATATAAATCCCAGTATATTTTCTGAATTTACTTCGGAGATAAGTTCTTGATTCCCACTGTGACATCGAAAACAAGTAGAGGACATTTTTCAACGAATCTACTCTCAAACTGTACATTCATATGCATAAACGATATTCGAAAACTACAATCCTTTGGGAAGTTCTAATAATGAATGATAGAAATCATACTAATGATGGTCATAGCGATAGTAATGTTGCTATTTGAAGACCAAAAGGTTGCGTTATAACACAAATGGGTCACTTAAGATTTTTAGGGTTCATACAGATTATAAAGGGCTGAAAATATGACAAAGCTGATAAACAAACAGAAGATCACGTAATGTGAAAGTGGCAATTAAGGTGAGGTGAAATGAATATTTTTTTTGTTAAAATTTGCATTTATTCGAAAGATTAATTGAGGTAGTACACAAAAATATTAAATTCAAAAATAAAACCGGTATTGATGGTAAGTGGTTGTAAAAGTTAATCTGACAAATGGGAAAGGAACATCGTATAAACGGTACGAAATAGACCAAGACAAAAAGAAATTAAGGTAAAGACGAAAACTGAATAAACTTCTTCTGCACAAAAAAGTCGAGTTTCAGTTCATGAATAACCAAGGCATTTATTGTTTTTAGAAGTTGAAAGCACAGGAAAGGTGGAATGTTTCAGAGGATTCAGTCAGTTATATGGTTAGATTTAATCGAGTGTACAAGGATAGACTTTCAAACGTATTTACTTTCACCGTTATAAAAAGAGTTTAGAATATGTACTTGTATACGTGTACGTGCTTTGCAGCACAGGAGACGTTAAATTAGCAAACCAAACCAGTGGAAGGATATTGTTCTTTATGCGTACGCAGAACAATTTATGATTGTTCATTTTGAGAGGTTTTGGGGATTTATTTGGCGATTTCAGGTCGGTATTCATCACCGACTAACATCGGCTGAATAAAGATCGGAAACCGGTTTTCAGTGGAGAGCTGTCTCGCCTTAGTACGCTACTCCTCGGTAGTCTGCACCTATGATCTTCAAGTTTCGTGGCGATCATGTGCCCACTGAACCACTGGGTCGGAATCCAGTGGTTCAGATTTCCTAATTCTGTCGTTTTGGCCCTATGCCGTGACTTTTATCCAATACCACCGTTGAGTAATTGTTCCACGTCGAGCCTGGTTTGCCCCACTGGTTGCGAATTCTCAGCAAGTCACTAATGAGCGCTAGATATTTACTCAACAGCGGCATTAGGTGGAGACTATCCTATATAGTGAACCGATAAGAGTAAAGCATCTGGAACTTTGGATTCCGATTCATTGGCTCATTGGCGATATGCTGGCCACGTAACCCGGAAGGGTCGTGGGTACGCACCAATGAGGACACTCATACTAGGACGAAACAGCTGTTTAGTACTTTCTGGTTTTCAGTGGTTCTCCAAATGATGTCATTCCATGATGGATACCCACTTGAGTTCACGTTTGATAATTAGGGGCAAAGTGAATTTTGGTGACTAATAATGTTTGGCTAACTGATCTCTAGGACGATTTATAACAAGCTCGAAATCTTACATAATCCATTTTTGTTATCATTAAACTTCAGAGACAGTCGTACTGCTGCTCCGGTCTAAAACCGGTCGTAAGATCCTTAAGAGCCTATGAACTACTAGATTTACTATCTACCATACAGTGAATCATTCAGTGTATAATTCAGTCCCACAGTGGTTAGCTGTCGCTTCAGTAACTGAATGATAAATTCTGTTTCTTCGAAACCGAGTCATATAGGTTTAACACTGAAGGAATATTGGTGCCCTTGAGTTTGCAGTGAAATCCCTCTAGTGAGTGCCCAGAAAGTATGAGATACTTGTTCAAAGCTTCTTATCAGTTGACTGTTGACATCCAACGCTCAAACATGGTGTTTTATCATTTAGATTGGCAGTCAAATCGTGAACTTTCTGAATAGTCTTTGAATCGCATATTAACTTGTCAGCTTCGTTGATTGCCATCTAGATATCATTTTGGATATTTATCAACCAAACTTCTAAGTGATATGAGTGTATCACTGATGCTGTCTTAGATTTGAAACCTGCCACGCATAGGTTTTTCTTGGTATTTCGTTCACCTTTTGCAACATTTTTGATATCAGTATGATAGAACCATATATAATCTTTATACTTGGCAACTAAATCATTTTGGTACTTCTCTACACTCAGTCTCAAATTTGTCTTGTTTGCATAATTATTTTATCGAAAAAAAATGAAATCAGACCAGATTGTTTTCTAAAATATCTTAGGTACTTCGAATAAATGACCCATTTAATCTTCGTTTTCATATTGAGTAAAGAGAGTATAAGCAAACAAATATTCTATCGGCTGTTTAATGAACAGCCATTCATCTTTTATTCTCGCTAATTTTTGTTCGATAACAGCTAATGAACAGTAAAAGCTTAAATTATTTCAATCTGAACTCAGACAGAGAGGCAAACAGACAAAATCAACATCCGACTTGGTAATGCTGCCTAACTGTCCAAGTTGTTATACGTCATGTCACCACATCAACTGAAAATGCATTAGGATGAAAGATAAATAAATGAAGAATGAAGGAGTCAAAAGCAGCAGAAAGTCATCAAAAAGGGCAAGGAAGAATAAGGCAATACTAAAATTCAGTATGACAAGATGAAGATAATGTATGGGTGTATCCGCTCTAGTGACATCGATTTTGAGTCAAATGACTTGAAGTCTCTAACAGTCTACTTTGGTTGTCATGCTAACCGTAGCCAGGATATCTACATTTAACTACACGACCCAGACCAACAGGAAAAGACTTCAGGGACTGATGCTATGTTTTAATCTGACCACCTCCGACCTTTTTTTACACTGAACCTACTTCAGTTAACATTTTCAAACGGGGAAAACACAATAATAGAATGACTGACCCCTAAATATGCAAAACCCTACGTTTTGGTCAACTCCAGATGCTCGGCAAGCTATTTTTTTAAAGCTTATAATACGGCTAGTAAACTTGTTGATTCGGTGTTGTTGTTAATTGCATTTAGTATGCAGTGGTTGCGCAAAATCTGCAGAATGCTGTTCTCACCAAAGGTCTCATTCTCACTCACATGCACCTTACCATGAACCTTATCATTTGCCGATGTATTAAAAATTTATAATTTGATCAGGTCAGTCAAATGTTCATATGAAAATACTGATACGTATATCGACTAGGCAAATTTCATCTCAAAAAAAATTTCTATAGTCTCAAAAGTCAACTGAGTGATTAGTAGGCATCACAGTTTGAAACTAAAGTTCAAACATTTAAAGAATCGTAAAACATTTTATTATTTATTGACTTGTAGTCTCATTGTAAGATAAGCTGAAAGTACAGTAGTTTTCAAATGTTTACTTAGTTGTATCTTAAAATGAGTAATGTTAACCGATTTACGTCAAATATTGCATTTAAATGTTTATTCATCAAACACTCCTACGTAATATCACAACATTTCAAGTTTATTATTTACTAGTGAAATCAGATTAACTGAATGTTAATAGTTTCTCATTGCAAAAGTGTATTCCTTTTGAATATTTATGTACAGAAGTTTTATATCGTTGATGAATAAATGATTGTATATGATGAGAAACGTTCTTGTCAGAAACCTGTAGTATATGAATACGTGAGGTGAGATATCATAGTAATAGCGTGAGTATTGGCATTAGTTTAAGAAGTAGCCTCAATAATACTAGTACTATCTTGAGCGTTTTATTAATATCAGTAGGAGTGGTTGTTGTCTGACTAGAACTGAGAGTATTAATAGAAAAGACACCATAAATCCTAACCACTCGAAGGTTCATTTATCTATAAAAAAAGTCACTTCAGTGTATCACACGATTTCTAGTACCGTTTGACGTCAAAATATACATTTTTCGCCTAAAATAGTTAGTGTTGGTTTTATTTCATCATCAAGATATGTGACTTTTTCACATTATCTGTGGTAATGACCTAAAAAATTGTATCGTAAATCAACACTACTAAATATATTCATTTATTTTCAGGTGAATACACTGACTAAAGTTGATGGTCATTTAATATAATGTAATTCCAGATAACTAGATGCTGATTATTTATACAAACAGCTAAGAAACTATAGAGTAAATGCCAGAGAGATAGAAACATATTCCTGGAGTCTGCAAATATTGTGTAGCTGTAGAGTAGTTGCTTGAGAAAGTCAGGTAATCTAACTGAAAATCCTTTATAGTGTCATGAAAAGTTTCCACTTCCTTTGTATGTCACTCCTTCTCGAGCTGTTTTATCTGCCTATTTCTCTTACTTTATTCACTAACATTGATATGAATATTTCCACCAATTTATTACTCTTCTTTTTGATGCTTTGATGCAAAATATGTTGAATTGAAGCAGTACATAACTAGGCTAATAATCAAGATGGGAGTTCCTGTTTGTCTGTCTGTCTATCTAAGAGAAACAGTTTACTTCGAGTTTCAGATACCCTCTGCAACTGACCTCAGACAGTAACTAACCTTAGGTCAGAATGATTACAGAATAATCGCCAAGGCGTTCACTGAGATTATGAAGTACACTGGCAAAGTGTACAGTTAACTGCATGCAGCTTCAGCTGTTGAATATTAGGCATTAAGTAGCTGTGGTAAACTTTTTTTCTCAAATATTAGCTAGTTAGATTTCGAACCTCAGCGGAAAATAACGCTTTTCTATCCTCTAATACACATTTTCCAGCATCCTTTGTGTAAAAACTAGAAACGGAACATTTGAAGTAAGCCTTTTTTGCATACAGACACAGGGTCACAGCATAATACAACTAAAGTGAGTAGGCTTGTATGATCAGTTACCAAACTATTTAAAAATTGAGTTGTCCACGTTGACATTCGTGCAATTCAC